AATGAAAGACAAAAAGTCCTATTCACTAGATCCCCACTCCCTATACTAGTAAGAGTCCTGATAATCTTTTACAAACTCTAAATGACATTTGTATGAAGTAACCAAACACCATATCGTAGACAACTTCTAAGCTCATTTTCAAAATATATTTTTTAAATTTATATGGATGGAATAATGCTAATTACAGGAAGGCAGAGAAACAGTTAAACAGACAGACAGACACTGGCAGATACAGAAACAGGCAAACAGATAGGCAGGCACATATAGAGACTGGCAGACAGAGAAAGGAAGGTAGAGAGACAGGAAGGCAGAGAGGACGGCAGACAGTGACAGGCAGACTGAAAGGCAAGCAGATAGAGGGATTGGCAAAAATAGAGACAGGGAAATAGAGAGACAGGCAGACAGACAGACAGACAGACAAATGGGCAGACAAGCTAGACTGACTATTAGCCACAATCATCCAAACTCTCCACCATTTCATTTCAGTGCAACATTGCAACATTTAAGAGTCATGATGAGTGAATGATGAGTGAATGAAACCTCGCACGTTTGATTAAGAAACAGTTTAGAATTTCCAATAATATTTATGCCGTCGCTTTGATAACTTTTTTTTTTTTTTTTTTTCTTGTCTGAGGATAATAGTGATCACTATTCCATCTCCATATATTCATTTCTTCTAACACATAATCCTCAAGTTTCTCTCTTCCCTCTCTCTCTTCTCCGTTTTGCTTCCCACCTCCCCCTGCCCCTTACCTCCCCCCCCCTTCCCCTTACCCCTAGGACGGTCCCCCTGGCCCTAACCTCGCTTCCATTTCTTTTCTTAGTCTCGCACAAAGTCAATTAATTTAGTATTTCTAATCATACTGTTTAGATTCCAAGAGTCATGAGTTGTATAGCTTATGCCTTTTTCTCTTTCGTGTTTCACATTTATGCATTACCTAGAGAGATTATATAGAGTCAGTGCAAAGGAAAACCATCTTGTACTATCTGACAAATAGAGACACTGGAAAATGGCACAAAAAAGCCAAAAATGCTTACGGAAAAAAGAGAAAATAACATTAACAAAGGGGAGAGAAGGACTCTAGATGCCGCAGGAGAACTTGTGTGCGTACGGACTACAAACTACACACTTATGAGAGTGGCCATTCCAAGTAAGTTTAATGCCTCCTCCCATCACCCCTCCTTCTTCCTCCTTCTCCACCTCCCACCACCCCTCCTCTTTCCTCCTCCTCCCATCACCCCTCCTTCTTCCTCCTTCTCCACCTCCCACCACCCCTCCTCTTTCCTCCTCCTCCCATCACCCCTCCTTCTTCCTCCTTCTCCTCCTCCTCCTCCTTGCACCACCCCTCCTCCTTCCTCCTCCACCTCCCATCACGCTTCCTTCCTCCTCCTCCCACCACCCCTCCTCCTTCCCCCTCTTCCTACCACCCCTCCTCCCTCCTCCTCCACCTCCTTTCACCCCTCCTCCCTCCTCCTTCCTTCTTATCCTCCTCCTCCTCCCACCACCCCTCCTCCTTCCTTCCTTTGAACCACACGCAGGCAGCAAAGTACCAGATCCAAGAGGTCAACAGGTGAGATCAGGTAAGACTAGTAATTGGCTCCTTGGCAACTAAGCCCTTGTGGAGCCATGTGAAAGCAAAATTAATGAACAATAATCATACTGGATAAAGCACATATGTACATGGCATCACAGTGTCAGTGGGTTGAAAAAAAACTTGTACAACGGACATAAACACTCACCCACAAGTCTGCACTACACTAGGATCCATACATTCACCAGCGCGAAACTGTTGCACAATCGAAAACGGCAGGTAGGTTATCCTGGGGTTATCGTTGAAAATTATCCTGAAATTAAGATCATTTACATTAATGTAGTTTGGGTAAAAAACTGACCTGGCATTATAGTTTTTTTTCTGATAAAATACAGCATACTTTATTTGTTGTTAGGATTTCAGTCATATGTTAGGATTCCCATATATGTGCATGTTGTCTTAACCCTTTGTACATGGGTATATGTCCTGTCAACTGTAGTGTTTTGTGAATTTTGTTGCACACAGATGACTCCACAAGCACATAGCCAACAAGGATTTAATTTTTTGACTCTGATATAACCTCACCTGATTTCCCCTTTCCTTGAATTTTCAAGAAAAAAGTTTTTCATTCTAATGTTATCAATATCAATACTGTTATTGATATTAAGTAAATCATGATGTTCTTAAAACTACTAACAGCAATAAGATACAAGAAAATAATCTTTCCAAAAAACAAGGAAACAGGGAAACAGGAGATCAGTAGGACTCATTGGTGTGGAGCCATCTAAGTGTAAACACAATTAATAAACTAAAATCACAGAGAACATGGCATATATTTCATAATAATACATGGGGTTGAATAACACCAAAAGATAATTTTCTGATTATTTCTGTCATTCATTACACAACACCACCACCCCTCCTCCTCCTTCTCTTCCTCCTACTACCCCTCCTCCTCCCTCCTTCTC